CCCGCGCGGCAGGAGCGAGGCGAGGGGCCGAGCCTCCCATCCGACGGCAGGGAGCGGAGGAGCGAGACGGGCGAGACCAGGTCCAATCCGACGGAAGGGAGCGGAGGAGCCTCCAATCCGACGGAAGGGAGCGGAGGAGCGAATGAGGTGGCCACGGCGGGCCAGCCAAGCGCAGCTCAGACATCCTCGGGTTGCCGCAGGGGTGCGCACATGGCCCCGTTGGGGTCGTGGCGCAGCGACCCGTCCCGCCGGGCAGCGCGTGCACTTCTGCCCGACGGGGTGCCTCCTTCTGTGCCGGATGCGGCTGCGCCGCGCCGTGGGAGCAGCGTGGGACACGTCCCGGAGCTTGCGGACCGGCCTGCAGGAAGCGCTGGCGAGGTGGCTGGGTCGGCGGCGCGCCCGCGGCCGCGGCAGCCTCCCGGCTCGAGCGAGGCCCGAAATGGGGGGGGGGGGGGGGGGGCGCGCCCGCGGAAGGAAGCCAAAGAACGTGGGTGATGCTGCGCCGGGGGGGCGGCGGGCCGGGGAGGCCAGAGGCCGCCCCTGGCGACAGGGAGCCCCGGGGCGGGTCGCGCTGCCTGGGAGGCCGCTGCGGGAAGGCGGGGCGGGGCGCCGCCGAAGTAGCGGGGGAGCGCCCGGGGCGGGTGCAGAGGCGCCCCGCTGTCTGGCAGCACAGCGCTCCTTCGCCATCATGCAGCCTCGTCGTAGACGACGTCAGCGCGTGGGGCGCGGCCCAGGGGGGAGCCCCATTGAAGCCGGATTCGCGGTGGGGGCAAGCCCCCAGGGAAAAGAAAGGACCTGCACCCAACCAGGTACTGGTCCTGGAGCCCGATGGCCCGGGTGGAGGCCTGGATCCTGGGACAGGGGTGAAGTGGGGCATCCCAGCAGCGGCGGCCGTCGTTGAAAACCTTGGGTTTGGAAGCACGTGGGGAATCCGCATCCTGAGGAGATAGCCCTGCGAATTCTCGTGCCCTGTTGGCCGCCACACGTCGCACGTCTCGCAATATCATCCCCATTCGCAGGTGGAGGAGCCCTGGGGGGAGAGACACACACACGCACATACATCGATACATGTGTATACATACATACATACATACATACATACATACATACATACATACATACATACATGCATGCATGCATGCATGCATTCATGCATGCATGCATGCATACATACATACATACATATATTGCACATGTATAAATACACATGTGTACAACTGTATGCGTATATACAAACGTATATGACTATGTATATGTGTACATGTGTGTGCACGGTTGCATGCCACGCATTATGTATGCATGTATGTATGCATGTCTGTATGTCTCACGTCTATATGTATGTATGCATGCATGCATGTATGCAAGTATGTATGTGTATGTGTGTTACGTGTGTATGCATGCATGCGTGCATCCATACATGCATGCTGCATGCATACATGTACACATGCACACATGCATGCATGTCCTGATGTGTGTACGAATGTGTGCAAGTCTGCATACATGCCTGCACGTATGTGCGCATGCATGTATGATTATGTGTACGCTTGTGATTGCGTGACTATATGTATGCATGCATACATACATTCATGCATGCATTCATGAATGTATGTGTGCATGTACGTATGATTGTATGCATGCATGCGTGTATGTATGTATGTACGTGTGCGTGTATGTGTGTATGTACGTATGTCTGTCTGTCTGGGTGTGTATGTGTATGTGTCTGTGTATGTGTATGCATATTATATGTGTATGGATACGTACGTGTATATTACATGTGTAGATCTGTGTATATATATGCATATGTATAGGTGTATGTGTGTATGTCTGTATGTATGTATGTATGCATGTATGTATGTATGTATGTATGTGTGTGTGCGTGTATGTGCGTATGTGCGTATGTGTATGTATGTTTGTTTGTATGTGTGTATGTATTGATGTATGGATGCACCTATGTACGTGCGTACGTATGTGTGTACGCATTGATGTATGTATGCATGCATGCAAGTATGTACGTGCGTATGTATGAATGTGTGCAGGTATGTGCGTGGGTGCATGTAGTGTATGTATGTAGCATACAGGCGCATATGTATGTCTGTCTGTCTGCCTGTCTGTATGTCTGTCCGTATGTCTGTTTGTATGTATGTATGTACATATATACAGATGTGTATATATACATATCTATATATATGTGTGCGTGTATGCATGCATGCATGCATGTACATTGCTGTATCATAGAAAGGTACGCGCACTTATGCATACGCGGTTGGAGTCACGTGCGGAGGATAGCACTGGAAGCCCACGCGGACGGCGATGCACAGGTCAACACGAAGGCCAGGCGCTGAAGTTGCATGCAGCCGCGTGCGCATCCAGCTCTCGCACAGGCTGGCCACGTCTGGTGCGTCCAGCCTCCTGGTGCCTTCGGACAAAATATGTTGCGGGGGAGTTCTGTCAGCGATAGCCAGCCCTACCCCGTCTACTCACCGAAAGCTGCCCCGAAGAGAGATGGAAGTGAGCGAACGGACAGGCCCAGACCGATGCGGGCAAGTTGCGACCAGGAGTGAGGAAAATTGGAGGCGACCAGGGGGCCTGCTGGTTCGACCTGAGAAAATCAGGCAAGAGGGGGGGATGACGCCAAATCTACTCAAAATCAATCCCTGGACCCTCCTGGGGTCCATATGGTGCAGTTTTGCACCCCGGATCCGTTTTTGCAAGCGGCCCCTGGAGGCCGAAATCAAAAATCCTTCTCGAACCCAACGCCTCGAACCTCTTCCTGCTGGTCGGAACCAGTGCTGGGCCACCTTGCGCGACACGCCCACGAGGAGCTCCGCGCCGTCTCGGCGCCGAGTGACGGAGGAAGCGGCTAAGAGATGCGACGCGAAGGGTAGAGGCACCCATCGAGCCCTCTGACCCGAGACGCCCACGACTGCCCGCCGAACACTTCGAAGAAGCGACCACCACCCATCAGCTCCGCAGCGGCGACGAACAGGCGGGCAGACGCCCGCGATGGAACAGCCTGGGCCGGCGGAATGGGCGCAGCGATTTAAATGATTCCCGTGCTGGCCCTCGCCGTGCTAGACGTCGAGAGAAGATGATGATGAGATGGAGGATGAAAAAGGAGAGTGCGAAGCGTGCATAAGGTATGCCAGGAGCGGCCTCGCGCATTCCGCTGGCCTCAAGATGACCGATTCCCCCAGTTCTCCTGGGGACACGTGCAGATACAAGAGAAAAGTGCTCCCAGCGCTAGGCCCACGCGCGTCACAGCTCCTGGGACACGTCGAAGCACGAGTGAGATGCGCACTCAGGGCTGCGGACGCCTCGTTTCAGAGTACCCCCTGCGCATTCTGCCTGACGGACGCGCGAAAATACAAGTAATCATTTCCCTCATGGCTATGACACTGCCATTTCGGTACACCCCTCACGCATTTCCTGCTCAACACTCCACTGGAACGCATGAGAATACGAGTGATCTGCGATCCGAGGGCCCCGAAGGGCTCCAGTGTGGACACCCTCACGCAATTCCTGCCCCACACTCTACTGAGACAACTGAAAATACGAGCGATCTGCGCAGTCAGGCTCCGGGAACATGTAAAACAGTGATAAGTGATGTGGACCTCGAGGCTCCTGGGACATGTAAAAATACAAAAAACATGCCATTCCATTTCCATGGAAACCTTGGAGCCTCAATTCGGTACGCCCCTCACGCACGTCGTGCCCCATGGATCCCCAAAGGCCCTTAGCTGGCCTCCAAGAGCGTCTACTTCTCCTACGCCCCAAAGAAAACTTGCAACGATTGGTATCGACCGTCGTCGATTCTTCTCCTCCAACTCCTCCACCTCCTCGCCCTTGGCCTTACCAAGTGAGTGCAAACAGACTTTGGACGACAAGCAAAAAGCAAGGGCAAGAGGAAATCTGCATGAACTAAGACATGCAGAGGTAAAGCATGACAGCACTAAGGAATAGTATATCACGGGCAACTGCTGAAGGCAGGCGACTCCATTCGGCAAACCCCTCGTGCACTTCGTGAATCTTGGGCGCTCAGCTGGCCCCCGAGACGGCTCCTTAGAACCCCAATTCGGTACTCCCCCCACGCACGTCATGCCCCGTGGACCCAGGCCCTTAGCTGGCCTCCGAGACCGCCCAATCCCGCACGGGGCGCAAAGACGCCCCAGGAAACATTTACCACGTGAGGACCAGGCCTCGCAGAGGCAGCATCCTGAACACCCACTGGTCGCCAAATCCGCGTACAAGCTTCCTCCCGGGGGCCCGCCGTGACTCCTGCTCTGCAGGCTCAATGCAGTGCTGCATGTGGGAACTCCGTCCCATCTTGGGCCGTCTGGCCGTCCTGGTGGCGCTACCTTGAGCCGTCTTTCTCGAGCCCGGGGGGTCCCCGGATGCCTTTCTGAGGCCCCCAAAACCACCTGGCGAAGCCTTCGTTCTACCTCTCCGTATCCCTCGTCGTTTCCGAAGCCTCTCGGGGCTTTCTTCAGGCCCTCTCGCCCTCTGGGGCTGTCTTGAAAACCCCTCTCTCCATCTGATCATTTGAGTTGCCTTCCGCTTTCTCCATCAAGCCTCCCAAAAGTCCCCACGTTCCCAAAAACGTGGGGCGGCGGTGTCTGCCCTCTCAGGTTCGCTCAATTAAATGCAGTGCCGCATTCGGTGAAATACCTGGACCCACACCTCGTCTCGCCAAGGACATCGGCAAATCAATGACTCTCGGCCCCTCCTCTTCCACTGAAGGGTAGAGGCACCCGTCCATGAGCAGGCGAGGGTCACAATTGAGTAGGGGATATACCTCACCGTGTAATGCTTTACGTCTGCCCTCTGATCTGAGATAGCTTGCCCCCATTGCCCACCAGGACTCCTCTATTCACCGAACCCTTCTCTCATACAAAGCACGTACCGACATAGCTCAGTCAACAGCGGACAGGAAACCCTGCGGCCTCCGCATTAGTCCAATCCACAGGCTTTCGACCTGTCAAGTCAGGTTTCTTGATCATGATATCGGGTTTCTCCTTCTGCGCCGCAAGCCATGCGTCAATGAAATTACCCGGCGCGCCCGTGGTTCTGGACAGACCAGCGCACCCTAGGTCGCATCAGAAGACGTTTGCGCCTTCTGGGAGTGCATCGGTCGGCAAACATGGGCAAAGCCATGCATGAGAGAGAAGGGAGGTAGAAGGTTCTCAGGAAGGGACACCGGCAAGAAACCACAGGAACCTGGTCCTATAACCCGAGCGCGGGACGAGAAGCTCCCAGCGTTCTCTCGGAACTCTCCAGCAGACGGGGCCCCCGCTGCGCCCCAGACAGGATGTATGGCACGACGTGCCCCTGTGCGCCAGGGGCCCTGGCGTGAGCTCCAGAGAGCGCGCTGGACGCCTGCCATGGCACAGCCGTGGGCTGCCCTGCCCATGCACCTGCATGCTGCTGGGGCATGGGGGGCTCCAGCGTGAAGTAGCCTGCCAGCGGTGACGCGAGCACGGTAGAAAAGCCCTGCTGCCCCGCAAGGCCACGCGCCGCGGGATCCTGGCTCTGCGGCGGCGGGGGGTTCGTGCTGCTGCAGACGGCGGCGAGGCCCGAGTTCTCCACCGCCCTGGGCGCGGGCGCCGGAGGGGGCGCCGGGCTGCTGCAGACGGCTGCGAGGCCCGAGTGCTCCACCGCCCTGGGCGCGGGCGCCCTGAGGGCGCCGGCGCCGAGGCTCCCCCCGGAGCGCTGGCCCTGGGGCGGCGAGGCTCCCGCCGAGGCCCGGGCAGCGCTGGGAAGCGGCGCCCACTCCGGCAGCGGGCTGGGGCCTGGCGCTCCTGGCCCCGCGGCCTGGGCGGGCTCCTCTCGCCCTCGCGGGTGCCCAGGGCTGAGCCGCTCGGAGCTGAGCTGCCCAGTGCTGCTCGGGCGGCTGCGCACGGGGCTGGGCTGGGCCGAGAGCTCGGGGCTGAGCCGCTCAGAGCTGAGCTGCCCAGTGCTGCTCGGGCGGCTGCGCAGGGGGCTGAGCTGGGCCGAGAGCCCAGGGCTGAGCTGCCCAGAGCACCCGCCGGGCCGCATAGGGGCGGCCGGCTGCAGCGCTGCGGAGCTCTGCGACAGCAGGGCCTCGAAGAGCTGCCTCCTCTCGTCCTCGTTGGTGCAGTCCTGGAACTGCGCCAGCAGGTCGGATGCAGACCCCAGGGCCGTCGCCGCAGGTACGGGGGTTGCCTGCATCAGGGTGTCAACCTGCGCTTGCAACAGCTTGAGCTTCAAGCTCTGAACTTCCAGCCTCTTCTGGACCTGGTGGAACCCCTTCCCGTCCCACTCCCCTTCGCCCTCCCCTCGACATCCCCCTCATCCCCCCCCCGCCTCCGCGTCCGCCTGCCCCTCTCCGCCCTGTTCCCTCGTCCTTTCCTTTTTTCCCTTCTCTCCGTGGAGGCCAGGCCCAAGCTCCCAACGGCGCGCCGACCTCCTCCGAGGGGCCCGCAGGCGCGCCCGGCCCCGGCACTGGCGCCGCTGGCGCCGCAGGGCGCTTGTCCGCTTTCGCCGAGGCGGCCCCGGAAGCGCTCGCCGCCTCGCTCTGGGACGACCACCACCTCTCGATGTCCGCGCGGAGGTGCATAGCCCGCGCGAGCTCGTGCTGCGCCTGCTGCTGCAGCTCCCTCTGGAGACCGAGCGACCGCTTCATCTCGGCGAGCCCCTCCTCCGCCTGGGACCGAGCCTCCCTCTGCGCACTGTCTGCCTGTGACAGCGCCTCCTTCCGGCGGCGCGCCCGGGAGGGAGGTTCGACATGTGGGAAGCAGGTCCTGAAGGAGACGGGTCCTGAGGCTTGTCGCCGTTTTTGGCTTCCTGGGGCCCTCCACGAGCACCGGGACTGTTGGAAAACGACTCTGGACGAAACACTCGTCCTGGGGGAAGGCACCAGGATCAAGGACACGTTTCCCTCAGGACCCGCTTCCCCCATGCTGAGCAGTGAGAGGGAGATGGCCTTCTCAGAAGGCGGCGGGGCTTCTCAGCAAAAGCTTCTCTGAATGCCCGAGGCCTTCCGAGCCTTCTGAGCAAACCCGCTCCCCCTGATCGGGGAGACGTAAGACTCGGGTTCGGGGGACTCGGGTTGGCCTGACGGGGCCCTCATGAAAGTGACGAGACCCAGTCTGAAACTTGACGCGAGCTCCCGCTGCAAACATCACACGGAAACGGGATCGCCAGAACCCAGGACGCGCCGGTCAAAAAGCGTCGGCAAACCCGAGCTCTGGCGAACTCGAGTCTCACGTCTTCCCGATCCGACCCCCCCCCCGGAACTCGCCACCGATCCTTCTGCGCACCCAGGCTCGAGCGCAGCTCACTCACGGTCGACATCCACTTCAGGGCAGTGCGGCCGACCTCGGCCTCGTCCATGCGCCTCTCGAGCTCCCGCTGCACGAAGGTCTCGTGCGCCCTGAGCTTCTCGGCCATGCTCTGCTCGATGCCTGCGATCTGCTCCGCAAAGGTAACTGCCATGCTTTCCTGTTCGGTCTGAAGCCGCCGTCCAAACTGTTCGACCTGCTCCAGCCGGCTCTGCTCGCACTCGGCGACCGGGCGCGCCATTCATCCCCGGACCTCAGCAGGAAGTATGCGGCGCAACGTGCCCTGACGCTGTCACTACGACAACGAGCATGCAACCAACCTCACTTGAGCCAAGGAGGCTGCGAAAAGTTTAGCCCCACGCAGTCGCCTGTAAAGCATGGATTCCATGTATATTGGTAGGCGCTGGTTGCAGACTCTAGAGCTTAGGCGCTTGTATGACCACTCGTCGGGTGAAAAGGAGGTGGGGTTTGGATGGGTACACCTTTCGGTTTGCGTCTGGTGTCGCGTCGGGGAGGAATGCAGCATACATTCCTACCTCCCGTAACTCGTCTACCTATTTTAACAAGTCGGGCCGTCGCCTTTTCATACCCATCTAACTATTCCATCACTTCCAACTCGTCTTCATGCTGCGAAGCGTTGAACGCTTGCATTGTTCTGCCACGTTTTACTCCTATGTGTCATATGCCTATTCTGCGTGTTTCAATCCGTTGATGTGTACATGCGCACATGTTTGCCAGCGAGGGCCCCCCCAACAGTAATCGATTGCACCGCGGATGTGTGCACAAGCTATGTGCTGCAAGCTATATGGTGCCAGCTACGTGTCGCAACATACGCGGTGCCAGCTATGCGATGCAAGCTTTGCTGTGCAAGCGATGATGTGCAAGCTACGCAAACTACGTGGTGTAAGCCATGTGGTGCAGGCTGTGCGGTGCAATGCATGTGGCGCACATGGTGTGGTGTAACCAGTGTAATGCAAGCTATCTCGTGCACGCTGTGTGGTGCAAGCTGTGTGGCGAACCGTGTATGCAGTGTACTCTATGCGGCACCCTAGCGCAGGAAGCGCCCACGAGGCGCCCACGGGCGGGCCCCAGGCGAAGCCCTCAGCACACCCACCCAGCGCACCAGGCGCCCACGCTGCGCCCACGGGGGGGCACCAGGCGAAATCCAGGCACACCCGACCCAGCGCACGAGGCGCCCACGAGTCGCCCACGGGCGGGCACCATGCGAAACCCTCTACGCACCCGCCCAGCGCACGAGGCGCCGACGCTGCGCCCACGGGCGGGCACCAGGGAAACCTCGGCACACCCACCCAGTGCACGAAGCGCCCACGAGGCGCCCGCGAGGCGCCCACCGGCGGGCACCAGGCGAAACCTCGGCACACCAAACCCAGCGCACGAGGCGCCCACAAGGCGCACGCGAGGCGCCCACGAGTCGCCCACGGGCGGGCACCGTGCGAAAACTCGGCACACAAACTCAGCGCCAGAGGCGCCCACGACGCGCCCACAGGCGGGCACGTGGCGAAGCCTCGGCAGACCCACCCACCGCACGCCCACGAGGCGCCCACGGGGCGCCCACGGTATGGCACCAGGCGAAGCCTGGGCACACCAACCCAACGCACGAGGTGACCACGAGAGCCGCCCACGGGGCGCCCACTGGACGGAACCTCGGCACGCCAACTCAGCGCACGAGACGCCCACGAGGCGCCCACCGAGGCGCCCACGGGCGCCCACCGATCGGGCACCAGCCGACATCCCGACACGTTTTCGCCGCGGCGCGGTAGAGGCACTCCGCTCGCGCCTTCAAGTTGCCGGGGGGCGCACGGCAAACTAATCGGCCGGCTGCGACAGCAGGAAAGGGCAGCAAGGGGCGGCCGCGGAGGACAGCAGGAGGGCACCCACCGCGGAAAGACTTTCAGGATCAACGCGCCGGGGCGGCCAGCCGAGGCTGAAACGACCTGGGAGTGGGCGCGGGACGGCATCAACGACCGCACCCAGGAAACGTGGCCAGGGCTGCAGGCGCAGGAGCGTGATGAGCAAGGTGAGCCAGATCGTGGCAAAGGAAACGAAGAAGACTCACGGCTGCAGGAGCGGGAGCATCCGAATGTTCACCACGATGCCGAACGCGCCAGATTTTGCTGCAGAGGGTCGGTGCCAACTGGATGCTGGAAAGCGGGCCAAATGACCGCAGGAGGAGGCTGCGAGCGAGCTGCTCTTGCCGTGGGTCAAGCAAGCACCACGTAGTGGGCGGGGTAGGGGAATAGGGAGGTCATGGATGGCGCGGGCCCTGGGACCCATCTTATTGAATGTTTCTCCAAGCCCCCTCACGTAAGGCTGCAAGCTGATCGGGGTCATAGCCGCCCGCGGGGAGGGAGCTCCCCCAACGCTGCGGGCAGTGCAGGCGGGCCCCAGGCATAGCCAGGCAAGGCGCACGGCAGCGCTGCCGAAAAGGGTGTGCTCCAGGAGAGAGCGCCACCAGTCAGGGTGCCTGGCCAGGACAAGGGCGGTCTTGACCGCGCAGCGGCAGGGTACCTCGTGGACAGCGGCGGACGCCATGGCCGCGGGGCCAAGCCGACGCAGAAGGAGAGCGTGGGCCAAGGGAGGGAGCCCGGAGACGTAGGCGCTGCCGTCGGCTTCGCTTTCGAGTCCAAGAGGGGAGTTCAGCCACCGCGGCGACCAGAGCACGAGAGCGACCCGCGAGCATCGCGGGCCTCGGCAGGAGACCGGCCGCCCGAGAGGCCCAGTGCAGACAGACGCAGATCCGGAGAGACTGCGCAGCGCTGGCCGGGAGCGCCGCCAGGTCGTCGACGTACGCGGGTCCCCCGGGGTAAGGGGCGCCAGTCGTCGAGGCAGCCCCGCGTGTGGTGGGGCCGTATCCGACGCAGCAGCATCAGCGGGAGGCGGAGCCCCCCATGCCGAGCGAACGCAGCAGACGCCGGAGGGGGGCCCTGCGTGACTCCGCCGACGGATTGCCCGCGGCGCTCGGGCACCGAGGGCCAGCACCGCGCGCCGCAGCCCTGCGGGGAGGCCCCAGCGGTGCAGCACCCGCTCCAGCCACTGGATGGAGAGTCTCTCGAAGGCCATGTTCTGATCAGCGCAGAGGAGCGCGTTGCACGGGGCGGGGGAGGGAGGGAGGGAAGAACGGTTGAGGTGTATGCCTCAACCACATACGCGTCCGGGCCGAGAAGGCTCCACCAAGCAGGGCCAGGTGGGGGAGGCGCAGTCGGGGTCCCAGCGCCCCGGCCATGAGCGATGACGCAAAAGTGACGCTCGGACCGCAGTGACCGCCCTTGATGGCGGCCTGGTCTGGGGAAAGAAATGATGAGAAGTGGCTCGAGGGCGGGGCCCGCCGTATCCGCTACCACCGCTCCGTGCAGACGGCGGAGACAGGCAATGCAATTGGAGGGGGCGGAGGTCGCTTGGCCATTCTGCGTCCGGCACCTTGGGGATCCACACCAGGAGATCGACCGAGGGACCCAGAACTGCGGGAGCAGCTGGGAGCAAAGGTCGGGTTAGGATTCCCCATGGACGCCGGGGGCGCTGCCACCCGCTTGCGGCACTAACGCAGCGATGCGCCTCCAGTCGGGGGCGGGGCGCGGGGGGAGGGCAAGGGGAGAGCGGCGGCGGAAACAGTCGTCAAGAAGCTGCGGGCACGCCTGTGGGTTCGGGGGGGCGGGTCCCCACACACGCTGGCGCGGCGGACAATCTCGACGGGCGCGGGGTCCGGGCACCGTCTGGGGCCCGCACGCCTCGAGAGGCGGAGGATTCCTGGAAGAGCTATCTCTACGCGGTGAGCCGGGGCCGCGCTAGGCGAGAGGCAAGGCGGAAACCCTCCGCTGGCGGGCGAGCCAGGTACGGGCCGCTTCGGGGGAGAGGTCGAGATCGCTCCAGCGCTGCGGGCGCGCAGCCACGCCAGAAGTGGCCAGTGGAGCGGTGCACCGCTCCACTGGCCCCCGCCGAGGCGGCGGCCCGGCTGAACACGGCGAGTGGCCCCGCGGTGCCAACGCGCTGGGGCCAAAGTGCAGCCTGGGCACGCAGCATGGCGCTGAGGGCAACGCGCCCGTGGGAGAGCCAGGGAGGGGCAGGTGCGGGGAGAGGCGAAGGGTCCATGGCGGCGGGGGGGGTCGTTGGAGGGCGCGTCGTCGACCAGCGAAGTGCCGGTGTGGCAGGGGCCGGAAGGCAGCCCAGGCGAGGCGGGGGTGGGTCCAGCCAACCAGCGAAATGCCAGAGATGTCGACGGGGGGGGGGACCAAGGCGTACTAAGGCTGGGGGGGGGGGGGGCACGGCCCGATTGCGGCGCCGAGGGAGGTCGGAGGAGGCATAAACATTCAGTAGGGCGTGGTCCGAGAGGTCGGGCTTCCACGCTGGGTGCGACACCGGTCAAGAGCGAGGGTGGAAATAGCAACCAGGTCGATCCGCGGTTCCCCTTGGCGACCCGATCGGGTTCGGCCATCGGGGGGCACGGCAGCACCCGAGTCCTGCAGTGCGCGCTGCTGCCACGCCACGGCGCCTTCGGCCTCGCCCTCTCTGGGCCGCGCCTGCTGCATGCTCAAGTCCCGGGCCCAGAAGGTGCGGAAATTCGAGGTCGGGAGGGGCGCGGCCGCAAGCGCGTGGGTGCGGCTGGCAGGGGGAAGAAACACACGGACGAACTGGTACGTCCTGGTCCCCCCGCCAGCAGGTGTCCAGGAGGGCGCACCTGGGAATAAGCACGCCGTGGCCACGGCATCCGTACACGCACTGGGGAGCAAGATACGGCTATACGCAAGAGTGACACTAGGCAAGAGTGGCCTTTAGTGTGCGGCCAAGGGCGAGCCATCTGGGGGCACCACCAGGCGCGCAAGCCGCTGCTACCGCATCGCACTCAGCGATCGGGGGGCCCCATACTACAAGTCACTTTGGCGAAAGCTCTCTCTTACGTGTCGTCGAAAGATAGCGACCTCGGCGGACCCCGTCCCAGTCGGTGCGTAGGGCAGGGGGCGCGAAGAGCTCGCGGTTGGATGGAGACCCCGTGGTCGTCCCAATGGGTCTTCTGCAGAAGCGCCGCCCGCTCGCGGGTCGCGGTGGCAAGGAGCAGCGCACGCTTCTCTATGGGGTTATTGGCGGAATGCGCGTCAGTCAGCAAGGTCTCTTCGACGGGCAGAACGGGCGGCGGGTGCGATCGCCAACGCCCAGCGCGGAGCCCCCTGGTCGGGCACCCTGGGGAGCTGCGCGATAGGGCGCGCAGCCAGCCCAGCGAAGTACGCCATGCTGCCGCTGGCGCAGCGCAGGTCCCCACAGGAGCAGCACCGCCTGCCCGCACGCCAGCAGGTGCTCCCGCCGGCCCCGACGAGCACTGCGCAGCGAGGATCGGCCATCGCAGCCGGGGCAACGAAGGTGGTGAGCGGCTGCTGCGCCATGGCAGCCCGCAAGGCCTCC